TAATCATTTTGTTTTATTATCCTACTAATTTTTCACAGCTTTATTTGCACTGGCATGTAGAAAAATGAAACGAAATAACCTAGAGAAATTAAAGAGCCTAAATGAGAACACACTATGCTGGCAGGCATTTTCTGCTGCACAAATCATTTTTATAAAGTTACCATGTGAAGCTTCCACTCTTTTTTTTCTTTTTTTTTTTCCTGTAGTGGCAAATGAGGAAAAGGGTAGAAATTTCTTCTTGCTTTTAGACTGCTGCTGGCTTTTGGAGGTGAGGCATTTGTTCCTTCACTGTCACATCACATGTATGGAATAGCTTGGGACACTTTGAGCATCCTCATGGGAGTTGGAGGAATCAATACTGTTATTTATGCATTCAGCATTACCTAGATATAATGGATGAAAGGATTCATCCCATAGTTCATTCATAACAGCAAACATAACAAGCGTTTAATAAACATGCTTGGATGTGTTGCTGCAATTACTATCTATAACACAATATTTATAACAACCTGAAATCTAATGAGGTCTCCACTTTTTTTAAGTCAATTTTTATATGGTATCTGAAATCACTGCAAGAACAGCATATGAAGAAATTAAGCTGATTATATTATGCATTATTCACACATTTGAAGGTTATATACACATTACCAACATTAATGTGTCCTACTTCATTACCAAAGCTACAGTTACTACTCACACAGCTGCATAAATTTAAAGATTCTTCCACAGTTCATAAGAAGATTTAGAAGTTTATTAATTCTTACCATGCAGCATTTTATTTATTTTACTACTACCAGATTTTTACAGTCTTCCTGATTCTCACTGCAAGCTTTTATGCCTGCTTAAATCAAAGAATATATTTGGGAACACTGTAAACGTTGCTGCTCCTGAAAATTCCCAAATCACTGGGTTATAATTGTTAGGAAGAGTTTGAAGGTGTTAAAGCTTTCTCTTAATACACATACCAGCACAACTTGCAACAAAAGGATTCTCAACCTATACTATGGGATGCCAGCAACAAGGAAGAATGGTGTAATCCACTTTTTTTCCAAAGTAGGCTTTATCACTTACTTGCCTGAATATTAACTATCCAAGAATATAATTTTGAGATTGCAGCTTTAAAACTGCAATTCAGACAGCATCTATGGTTCTGTATCAAGGCAAAACTTTAATAAGCAAGTTATCTGCCTCTGCCTGACCACAGTTCAATGCTTGCATCATATAACACAAGCCTGGCTTGAAAAATATTATAATGGTACCCCAAAGGCAACTAAAGACATCAATTCCAATAGCTGCAGATACTGCTTGGTGCTGAACTTGACCCATCTATGCAAAAGCCATGCAAAAGGCTGAAAGCACCCTTCTACAGTTGTAGAAACATGTTTTTCCTCTATGCTCTATTAGGAGAGAGCTGAATGTCRTATTTTCCCTACCTTTATTCCTACAATTGCCAGTCTGATTATAATATAAAAATCCATTTCTTGCACTAGGTTTCTCTTGCAGCAATGAGGCACTTGTGTGCATYGTACAAAGGTCTAGGGAGGACACGAAGTATTAGGATTACATTCCAGCTGGCTCAAAATATGTTTCTGGAATATTCACTCTAATGAATGCCCAGTAGATTTCATTTAAACTCATCTTGAGCTGTCATTGCTTTTGTAATGAAACTAGAGCACTGGCAACCCTTCCGAACAATGGGCAAGGAGTAGTTGGTTAGGAATAAAGAAATCAGCAAATCAATAACCTTTTGACTTGGACAGGTGATCAACTGCATCTTTCTGAAGAGAAAGAATATTCTCTCCACTTTTTGAGAAAAAGCAGGAAGATTAAGATTCCAGGTTAACTGGCAACTTCATCTCTCCCAACACATTAACCTCTGTCAAGAGTAAAAAGAAGGATAAATTACATAGAGCAAATAAAACACCAAATCAGAGCACAGTGTCTCCAAAAACCTTGTAAATGCATCTGCTGCACTGCAGACTGACATCATGTAAGAATGTAAGAGAAAAATCAACTGATCCTCTTTCCTTTTCTGAAGAATGCTATATGGGCATCTTCATACTCTGACACTTTATCCTGAAATCCAAAGATAATCTCTTTACCATAAAWACAAAACAATTTCCAGGATGTTTTATTCATGCCAAGTTTGATACTTTCTCATAGAAAATTGTGAATAACTTGCTTATTTAACCACCTGCTCATAAGATTCTCTTTTTCCCCTTAGAGCACTGCATTTTCTGTATATCACAGTTCCATCTCCATGTGAGGAGGAACTTCTAGGGTGACAGAGCAGTGGAACAGGCTGCCCAGGGAGGCTGTGGAGTCTCCTTCTCTGGAGGTCTTCAAAAYCCGCCTGGATGCCGCCCTGTGCCMCRTGCTSTRGGTGTGCCTGCTTGAGCAGGAAGGTTGGAGTAGAGTAGAGGTCCTTTCCAAACCTAAACATTCTGTGATTCTGTGAACTCCAAGTTGTTGAGGTTTTTTAGCCAAGTTCCAGCATTATTTTTCAAGTGACACATTGTTAGAATTAAAATCCTGCAAGAAGTATCTTTCTTTTTTTTCCTGTAATGMCTATTGTCTTGCTTTTTTTCTATGTAAAAAGATGTGATATCCTATTTCAATTACAAAAAGTTGTAAGTTACAATTCTCAGTTTATTCTCTCCATTTGCTATACAAAGCTCTTAATGAGAGAAAATGAGCTGCACCAAGGGGTGCTTATTATAGTCCTCATGGTGCCTGAACATATCAATAACCAGTTAAACATACATTTAAAAACCTCTTAATAACTGCAATATTGATCAATAGTAAATCTACCTTATTTTCTTAACTTTTGACAACAGCTGTTTCTGGAAACTCAGATTTCTCACTATATTTCCTTTTACTACCATTACTACTGCATCTTAAAGTACCTAAAAAAATCAGAACAAAGATTGACAATAAAAAYTTSGTCTTTGCTTGGAGAAAATTTTGCTAGCTTCCATGCGTCTGTATTGCATCATTTTGGTCTACCAAGAAGAAAGTTTTCTAGAAAGCTATATGTGGTGGTTATACCTCATTATCCTCACAGAATATCCCATAAAGTTCAATAAAGATTAAAGTAATAAGGTTTCTACAAAAGCTAAATGGACTCTAGAGAAATAACTTTGAACAYTAATAACACTCTTTTCATAGAGTTCTACAGGACTGTGTAAGTACTTTTAAAGTGCATCTCACTTGCTATTACCCATTTCCTATTCAAAGCAAGAGTACATGACTGTGATTGAGAAGGTCTACAGGGTCAGGAAAGGGAGAACTTACCAAATCCAGTGGTACATGCCACTGAAGACACATATATGCAAGTGCATACATGTCATGCATGTATGCTTGGCTGCACTCATATGCAGCAAGGCACTGAGCTTCGAGTTTGAACATAATAGTGCTGTTAGATCCACCCATTTTAATCACACAGCTTTTGAGAACCCACAGCAAACCTCTCGGACCAGGACCAGGCCTTCAAGCTCTGAAGAAAATTGTTTTTAAACCATCCCTAAGGAGCCTTTGAAATATGYCCAAGTCCATCACTTGAATATCTCTATTCATTTCTTCAACTTCCACGTTAGTCCAAGAAATTAAATCTTGAGGGCTTTTGTGCTTTGCACAGCACAACCTTTATTTTGTGTTTTAAGGTTGTTAAATGGATTAAGAAACTCCAGATATTTAATTTCCATAAAAGCCAGGTCCCAAGTATCTGAAGGATGTTGCCACCTCTTTTTTCCCTTTTCTTTCTTTTTTCACTGTTCTTACAGATCACAGCCTCTGTGTATACAGCTCACAGCTGGATGATAAGCAATAARGGGTTTTTCTGAAGCTTCTCCCTACTTTTCCTATGTATACACACACTCACACCTAGACACCCAGATTAAGTACCCAAGTGGAATTGGAACACATGTTCTAAAATCCAGTAATGTCTTCAGTGCATCTAAGCAGAACTCTTGCTACTGATAATGAACTCCTCGTAAGTTTACTGTTAACAGTAGTTGAAAGTCAAGATATGCATTGAATGTTGTGTCATTTGTAACATTTCTCAGTAAATGCAAATACAAAAGGTGACAGAGAAAAATATTTAAATTGGTCTCCATCTGCTTTCTAAGTGAACGTCTATAGTTTACATGCACATTGAAAAATTAGGCAGTTATCTATCTGAAATACATATGCAAATAGAGTGGAAGGGCCTAAAGATTTATTCATCATACTTTAATAGAGACTGTGTACTATGTATGTATTGTCTCTGAAATGCACTCACTAACACATTTTTTGTATTAGAAACTAAAACTTGGTTTCTAATACATAAGTGACATAGGCATACACTTCTTTTCTCAAATAACGTCAAATCAGCTTGCCTATTTGAAAAAATATTTATGTATACATATACATTTGAATACACTTGAAGATGCATTATTTCATATATTATAGTTTTCAGACAATGARTCTTAAGGACGTGAAACAGACACACAAAAGCATTACCTACATTATCACAAACTTGCTCTATGATAGGCACACAGCCTACCTAGGACTGTTGTAATAGCATTTTCTTTGCTCAAAATGCATTGAATGAGGCAGTCAAAAGATCTGAATAACATCAAAATGTGGATGTTCCACATGCCAGTTGAACAGCTTTCTAATATGGAAAATTGAATTACATTATTCTGCTAAGGACTTTTTTTAAATTATAGTAAAAGATTAATGCTGTATGTAAGAACAAAGAGACTCAACACAAACTATGCACAATGCCAAACAATTAGTGCATTATTTACACATTGTAGATGTTCGTGACTCAGACTCTTTATAAAAATGTCTCAAAGAATCTCATTTTTTGTAAAAATTTTTAAGGAAAGGCTTGCATTTTGCAGACATCTAAGAAACGGAAAATAGCTTTTTTTWWAAAAAAAAAAAATGAAGCACAAACAAAATAATCAACATAATTTTAGAATAATATAAGCTATCATAAAGACGTGACGAGTTACCGGATAGCCATTTCGCCCTGGTAGACCCTGGTGGAATGAGATGAAATGGTATGACACACATTAACAACAGTCATGACATATGACATAACAAACATGCAATGTACATTGTTGACAAGTTAAAATTCACATAATCATCAATTTTTGGTACGTATCAGTACTATGGATGAACAAATAAGGAACAGGTACTACTGCACAGTGAATAAAAAGGGCTTTGGTGACTGAAATTGTATATATATTGTTTTAAGTTGAATCAACATTCTAATTAAAAATTTGTCTCTAATTCTAAAATTCCTTTTGTTACCCAAAGCATTATGCATGTAGATTCAAGGGCAGTATGTGGCTAACAAAACAAAGTTTTGGTGTTCAGGTGGCAAAATAATATATAGCTGGGCTACTCCTACAATATAGGTATCAAAGAAGAAATTTGAGAATACCTTAAAAAAATGAAAACCTCAAGACCCTGACCTACTACACATGACACTCAGTAAACATGCAAAAAGAAAAAAATTAGAGTACTTCAGGAGCCTTTGAAAATTCCACATGAAAGCTTCAAATTAAAACTTAAAACTACTCAGTCTTGRGATCTACTTTAGGGTTATATTAATACTGTGAGGATCCAGACTATTTTCTAAAAATGGACCTATGCTAAAATAGTAGAGAGCTAAAGCCAAAAAGTAGACATCCATAATAAGGCTTATAGGGAACAGGGTGCTATGCAGGTCTTGCCACGGGAAAACCACTGGCACAATGACATATTCTTTYTCTTTGCATTTCATGAGACGACTGCAAAAAGAGGAAGACAGGGTTCCTTTCAAAAAAMCAGCACCATTATGTATTCAGGCTCACTTTTCACTGAGGGCTTGTTAAATAAGTTTGATGCTATGAACTTCTAAGTATTCAGTCAAAAACTTTCCAAGGATGAGTAGTCTGTTCAGTTTGAACGGATTACACTGACATCAGTAAGTCACACAGCAGAAATTCAAAAAAAATTTTTTTCACTACTCAAATGTGAATGTAGCATAGAATTGATGAATAATCTGGTCTTGAACACATTGTGGAAATATTGCATATATTTAAAAAAAAGTGAAATGCCTTCAAATAATGTATGTCTTATTTTTATGATTACACTGTTTTACTATATGGTACAGATCGCCTGACAAACACAAATACTTGAAATAGATGCACTTAWTCATATACTTCAAGTCAGACTTTTGACCTGCCTTGGAAATCTATTACCATAACAAAACCATCCCAATTGCACACGCACTGCATGATGAGCACAAGATTCAACTACCTAAGCAGTTTTTTTTTTTCAGTAATTTTTTTACACAAGCATTTATTGTGATAACTGTACTAGAATGAATTGGACAACATACCCTACTGTAATTTCTAAGGAGTCTCTGCCCAGGACTGCAGAAACTGCAAATTCTCTGCCCAGTAAAATGTAAGTGAAGCTGAACCTAAAATAGCATACTTTCACATTTTTACATAGTAGCAAAATTTCCATCACTAAGTAATGAATAGTTTCCATCACTAAGTAATGAAGTAATCACTAAGTAATCACAAAGTAATCACTAAGTAATCACGAAGTAATACTTACATGGAAATTCCAGTCCAACCTGCTAGCTGGAGTGCAAAATGTAAAGCTTTGCAGTTTTAAGATTTTTTTTGTCCATCCCTCCTTAAGGAATATTCTAATTAAATCATTCAGCTCCAAAATAACTTAAAAGGATTTGTGCTGTTTAAGTACAAATATAAAAATTCCCTCTTGATAATAATACACAATCAGTTTATCACAGTGATCATTTAACAGGATATAACAGATTCCACCTGATTCTGGAAAACTCAACAACATATCATTGTACTTACAGGAGGTCCTGTGGTGAGGGATGGGGAAGGAAGTGACAAAGACAGAGAGAGAGGAAAAAAAAAAAAGAGAGAGCGAGAGAGAGAGAGAGAAAGAGAAAAAAAAAAAAAGAATACGTAAGTTTACAAAGTAATTACAGGAGATAAATCTGTAGGAAGCCAAGCATGAGGCTTCAGGATTATAGGTAAGCAACACTTACAATACACTGTAGGTATTTTCTCATTTAAGTACCTTTGTTTTGACTGCTTTCAACTTGTAAATATGGCTACTGCTTAACTGCATACCCTTACCTTACCAAGGAAGTCAATTCTTTAACTATGATCATGCAATCTTATTAAAAGGTGCTTCTCCATCTATTTCCATGAAAGTTTCTGCCAGGCCAAAAACACTATCCACGGGGCGTACAATTCATTTTGTTATATTMTCCACAAAGAACATGTAAAAATATCCTCCAGGTTCAATTAGTCACCTAATTTGGGCATTACATCACAGCTTTCTGAAAAACTGCAGAAAGTACCCTTGGCATTTATCCTTGACATCTAATCAAGACGTACTTGAACCCATATCTTCCAGCCTTCCAACTCTGCTCCTGAGGGAGGCTTCAATGGCAACCTAACTCTGCAAAATTTTCTTTTTATCACCTTCCTTTGTCAAGGCATATTTATAAAGTGCTCCCTATTAAAATGTCACACATTTGCACATTTTTTCAATTATTTAACTCAAAAGACTTTCGTATAGCAGTTCTTGGAAACATTATCAAAGGGTCACAAATCAAAACTACTATTTCAGTCTTATTAAATTGAGCAGCTGCAGCTCCCAAATCAATGACTTTTCATTAGTTTTCAGGCCTCTAGTTTCTGAATAAACTAAAGGGCAAAGGAGGTATAAAACAGCAGCAGCTGTACATCAAGCGTGCTTTTAATATTGACAGCCTTTTGTTTTTAGCAGCTTAACTTTATCGTCCAGTAACAAAGGCAATTTTTTTTATAGTGGTAAACATTCTTAAATCCTATTTTAAGGTGCAGGTCTATTTTTACATTAAAGAGATCAATTTCCTTTATTAATAGTTTAATATGTGTTTATTTGAGACTAAGAATGAATCAACAAGCTTACTCCAAAGTAACTACCAGGCTCATTTCTAAGGCAATCTTCAGTCTTAAAGTTTCCTTTAATACCATGGCACATTTTTCTGCAACAAATACTAGCCAACATTGAATGGAAACATTTAGGTGATTAATATAAACCTTTGGCAAGGCTTGGCTTCAGCTTTATGATGCAGGAAAATCAGCATTTAGTTTTTAAAGGCAAAATAAGATGATGATTTACATAGATAAGAAATGCTAAACAGTAGATTTTCAAGTCCCAAGTTGATTAGGAGCTTCTCTTAGCTGGCAAATTAAAGAAGAGATAAGCAAGGATATTAAAAATGCTGATTTTCTCCTGCGTTGCTTCTAGAAAGTTGACCCTTATAAAAGAATCAAACCCATAGTTCTGATTCTTGTCAACATCAACAGGAAACAGAGCTCAGCATCTCATAATGTCTCAAATGAAATTTCAAGCTCCATACTCATAGCTACTTTCTCTTAACAGTAAACTTGCTACAAGATAATCAACCACTAATATTTTTCTTAATTCCAAAAAAAAAAAAAAAARAAAAAAAGAAAAATTACTTTCTAGCAAACAAGAATTATTCTCACACTGAGTATTCTACAGATATAAACATTAGGAAGCTCATTTGCCAATTAATGATATACAAGACCAGCAACTGTCCTAAAGGCCACCAGGTATACGCCAAGGAACACAGACTTCTAGCAGGAAAGTTTCAGAAGTCTCTTTCCACAGCACATAAGTAAAAAAATACAAATTAAGGCCTACTGGATATGCACCCTCACAAAAAAAAAAAAAAAAAAAAAAAAAAAAAACCACACACACACACATAGATATCAAATAGAAATGAATCTTACAAAACTGAAAACTTACCAGTCTCTCCTCTTCTGCCTCGCTTACCTCGTTTCCCTGGAGGACCTAAAAAAGAATAGTAGGGTGACTTGTAATTTTTTTTTTCCTGTAGATTAGATTTAGAATTGCATTTGTATATAGATAWAAGGGCATTAAATAGACAAATTAATGAGTGATACTCATGGCTGAACAGGGATATGACACTGTAAGAAGAGGGTTCAGAAACTGCCTGAATATGGAGAAGAGTTACTGGAATAAGACTCGGTGTTTAAGGTRAAATGGACAGCTACATCACTCACGATAGGATAACAGGAAAAAGAAGAGTAGAAGAAACCTTTTTCTCCCATTTTCCAACATGCAACAAGAAAATATTCTCATCCTGTTTTACAGAATATTTTTTCCTAAACTTTAACAGTATTACAGGTGTGTGTATACATTAAGATACGTATCTACCACAAAGTTTTCTGCTGAGATTCCTCCTGACTAAAAAGCATTTTAGCCACTATTGCAGAACTATACTGGCATACTGGCAAGCTGTGAATTTTGGGCAGAAGGAATTTAATGTAGCAAGGCAGACTTCTACATAGCATTAAATTGGCAGTTTAGTATTTGGGTACAGTGAAGGCAAAGGGGCTCTAGCTCACTTCTGTCTTCTGATATCACCCACGGATGCTTCCTAAGCTGCTATTCTGACATTATGAAATGTATATGCGTTTAAGTGTTAATGACCTGATAACTTATTATTTTTGTATTTCCAAAGTAACCATACCACTAGAATTAGCAGAATTGTTCTGGATTTATGCCAGCATAAATGTAATCATAACACAAGCCCTAACCTTTGGGTCTTCAGATCAGCCATATTTAGTGGTTATTGAGTGACATGAAGCACTTCTACCTCTCATTACAAGCTTTTCTGAAGTCAGTACACTCCAAACTCTGTTTAGGCAGTGACCTTTACAAACTTTTTTGAAACCRTGAAAGGAGATACATTTGTGCATACTTATCTAAAACATTTCATCAAGAAGACACAATGCATTTTTAAGCTTTTATTCCTCCAAGGTCACAGATCCAGATCCTCCAAGGTCATAGAAACACTAACCTGCATATTTACCTGCATCACTAGTTCAGGAAGCATGAGCTTTTATGTTTTCCTGAATACACTGCTTTCTCCAAACCTTAACTGCCAACATTACTTGTTGTTCCAAAGGTCTCCAGTTATTAAGAGCTTCTATGTTTTTTCTATAAATATTAATTTTCCCTTGCATAAGACATACAGCATCTAAAATAAATACTTTCAAGTTTCTTGCGCTGGATAAAAAGCTCTTTAGGCCATTACTAGACATAACCATCCTCAATTGTATTTATACAGACTATACTGAGCAACAACAAAAAACTAGTTCATAGAAGTTGAGTTTGCCAATACATCATTCTCAAGCCCACTTCTTCCCTTAAACTCACTAGATTTACCTGTAAGTAAAGACTAAATGTAAAATACTGAGATTCAACTGTTCTTCATTTTTAACTGGTTTTATCTTCAACATATTTGAAACAGTCTTACTCATCTGAAAAGATTGATGGATACAATTTATGAATATAAAGTCTAGAAAGTTTTTTTTCATTTAAACATCAAGAATTTAATGCCACTGCTCTTCTATATCTATAAACTGACTTTTGAAAAAGAAAGGGAATAAAGGATTTTAAGAATTCAGAAACACACAATTAATTTTATTTCCATAGTTAAATCCATTTCCTCAGTCACTGAATTAGTTAGATGATGAAAAAGTTTTGACTATCCTACCTACTGATGCTGAACTGGTACCAGACAAAAAGAAAACTGAACTTCATCCAGGTAATAGCTTTAGACCTGATATGATCCACTCAGAATTAAYCAAATGAAACTCCAAAACTGCAAAATTTTTTCTTCTATGTGCATTTTTTTTACTGGAAGGATGCAGAGCATTATTCTAGTTGCTCCATTATATGCCTTGCCATCTATCAAAATAGTCACATATTTTTAAGGAGCAGGAGCCAATAGGCCAACTTAACACTAGAGAATGAATCAGCTATGCACATAAGCTCGCTGTAAGGCTTCCTCAAACTTCTAGAACAGTACAAAGTAACTTTAACAGATGAAAGCATTGAGCTTCATTTGTTTATGTTTACTACATATCCAGCCATAAATATTGATTTGAAATCTGTGCATGTTTTTTAGATCAGATATCACAGACGGGGAAAAAAAAAAAGGCACTTTTAAAATCTATCATTGCATTTCTCCTGTACCTGAGTCCTGAGCAAGTCTGAAGCCAATATGCTTACTTCAGAAGTGTAAGGCATAAAACTATGACAAATGTGCTGAAATAATGTGATTAAACTATCTAGAAAACAGATGAAATCAGCCAACCAAAGCAGACCATTTCTTTCTGACCAGACAATCATAGTGGCAAAATAAATGCTGCTTTTGCATTCGCAGCTCTACCATTTGCAGCTCTACCTATGTGCTACTGCAACTCAGCTGCCATCATCTCAGTCCATTTCATAGTTTTCCCTACTAGACTAACATAAAATCAACTTAGAGATCTGCACGGAGCACAGCCAGTGCAGCATGGCTCACGGGAAATGAGCAGCTTCTGCAGCACACCAACACCTTGTTGTTTTGCAGCCACAGGAGCATGAGCATCAAGTGATACTGCAGGCCAGAGACATGCGTAGGCAGCAGGGCAGAACAACAGCTGCTGAGTGTAAAATCTGTTCCTGGGATATGCACATGCCATAAGCACCACAGCAACTAATTAATACCGCATGATTAACTACTCTCTTGTGCTACCCGCCTCCTACTGAAATGCTCACCAAGTGCTGCAGACTGTACTGAAACATCCAGAAAGCTCGACATCAGAGGGATTTCTGGCTGCCATGAAATCTGACAGACACATTCACAGCCCCTTCTTATAAGACTGCAATCAATTCTACCCCAAGTAAGGAAGAATGGGGCAGATTTATTTGTCTCCAAAGTCAAGTATGTTCTTATTTGCAAATKCTGCATGGATCTACCTGTTTCACTGGCCTTTTTCCTCTTTCCTCATTTCTCAGCTTTTTTAGTTCATGTAACATTTGGACTCTTGCCTCCCACTCTGCACACTCATCCCACCTGGCATGTCAGTCTCCTGCTTTGTACCTCAGTCCGTCTGGGACAGTCTAAATTTCCTACCTCATAAAATTATCTGTCTCCCTTCAAGCCTCAGCTGGATAAATAACATTCATAGTTACATTACATCTCTCTTTTTTTTTGGCTCACCATGAAACATCATTGCATTGCGGGGCTTGGATAAACGTCAGAGGTCATTACACAACCCAGTGAGGAAACGGCAAAATCAGTCTATCTGATTCACAGTAGAGAAATCTGACCTGTCTAGGTCAGACTTATTTATTTATTTTACTGCTTCTGTAAATACTAAATGCCATCTGATTAAAGACACCTAGTCCAGCGTCATGTGGCTAGAACCAGACACTCCTGAGGGAGCTGAATGCATCCGGTGATTATGACCTGCAAGATGGCCAGAACTGTGCACATGCACTCTTCTTAATTTACTCTTATGCTTAAATATGCTTGAAAAGGTAACATCCCCTCCAAAAATTATGTTATCATGAGATATTATCATTCTGAATTAATTTTACAGCCATATCAATGTCTAACCCTTCTTTCTGCTTATGAGATAAGGAATCATACTGCCTACCCACTTTCTTGAATCTATTTTGGCATTCAATATGCTTTTATTATGTTCTCCTATTTGTCCTCCTTCAAACGTGAACACATCCCATTCTGTCAATCTCTTCATTTTCCCCACATCATCAATCATTAGCATTACCTTTTTTTTTTTTTTTTTTTTTTTGAGCTTTCTCCAATTCTGCACTGCAGTAATTCTTTTAGCATGACAGGGCAGAAACATCTCATGCTTTGCCCAAAATGCTGAAGTGTCCCTGCAGCACAGCTCCTTTCAGAGGGATAACTAATCCAGCTCCAGCACAGAAACCCTGCTCCAGGCATGATGAAGAGCCTGACATTGCCTTTCCTGCACAGCCTGGCAGGAAGCATCTCTCAGCCCATGGGTTCCCAAGCACTTTCCCAAAAACATGTCTTCATTCCAAGAACTGCCTTTTTGCATAGGCAGTGAATTATAAAACTTCATTTTATAATCTGAGTTTATGAAACTTTGTTTCATAACTTCTCTACAGACAACTCACTTTAAACCTGCAAATTTCATTCTGATTCATCTTGCCTTCTAACACAGCCTCRAAATCAGATGCAAAAATTTCTTAAACAAGACTTCTTGTGTTCAGCTATGAAGTACAAGATAAGACTTGACAGGTAAAGTGCACCCAAAATTCAATTATTCACTAAACTACTGCACCTCTTTCTAGTTGCCTGTCTAAACTGGAAGTCCAAAGATGCTTTCCCCCCACAAGACCTGGTGGGAAGCAAGGGTTCACAGCAACCTTCGTCTTTTGAGCATTTCCATATATATTTTGCAACTTCCATTTCCATCCCCCTCCACCTACGCTTCTCACAAATACAGATTTCTGTTAAAATGTAGATCACCTAGTTGGCTTTATTCAGACYAGGCACTCTGGATATTTAAAATCAGACTTCCCTTCTTGAGTTCACAGCTACTTAAGCAGCTACTTAGGCAGCTAATGAAGCTGCCTAACATTAGTTATGCTACTGGTGGTGTTCCTTGGAGCTAAATGCTTGAGTACTTAAGGATATCTCCCCTTCTAGTTGCTCTGTTATCAGCTCCCAGCTCATACTGGAGAACTGAGCTCATTAAATATTACATAAAGCATCAATTACACATACCTTCACAACATACTAAGATGCACTATCTGCTTTCTACCTATACTAGTATCTTGCTCATGTCCTTCACCATATCTACAATTTTAGGTGYGTCTTCATTGACCTATTCATACATGAAACAAAATTTTACTGAATTTACTGAATTACAAGAGCACTGTGCATGCACTACAGTCCCATACTTAATCATACTGACATTTTCTTTCTTTCCTCCCTTTGG